GATTTATACATGGTTGAGAACCTGGGAACGCTTCAGGATGAGTGGTTGCTCGATGCTGGCTTTTTTCATCTCTTCGAATTGCGCATTTTCCACGTTTCGGAAATTCTTATAGCCAGAAGCGTAAGAAATGTCACGTTAAAAGCCCGAATCTTGTCACGTAGAGTGCAACAATAATGTATTATTATCTATTCGACAATGCTAGATAACATTTTACCATAATTCATAAGCAAAATCAAGTTTTTTTTAACTTTTGAATCATTTTTCAATATTCGCCTTTTTTTTTACTTTTTTTGTCGGAAAATCATCGAGAAACGCGTTGAACTTGTTATAAAAATAAAAATTTATTTGGTTTTCATTTAATTCACGTCAAATATTTATTTATTTCTGGGAATAAATAAAAATCTAAAATAATTTTAAAATTTTTAAAATTTGAAAAGTTGAAGTTTGTGCATATTTGCATGATGCATGTTTTTCTTTTGGTACCTGTTTGATTGGTGCTGAAATGTTGCAATTCAATAAGCGATTTCAGACCACTTCCATACCCCGCTGGGATATTAGTCATATTAGGCGGTGTGCGGGCCGCAATTTAATTCTGAAATACTTCATAACTACAGCGTCTCGGGAGTGCTGCTAGAGTGTATTTCACTTTTAGATAAACAACTTTCGTGGCACTGGCAACGCTACAGAGGCACTTATGGATATTAAACGCTCATAAGAAAAATCATCTCCCACGTTATTAGTTATTACTTAAACCCTTAACTCAAAAACATATTAATACCATTTTTAATCTAATTTTATTTTCTCTGTTTTTATGAGAAATACTTTCCAAAGCAGAATTAAAAAATTACACATTACCTAGGCAAATGTAAAGTTGTTACCGTCGCTTGTTGTTTCATAACTCAAACATTAAACTTTGCTAATGTTGCCTGTGTTTCTAGGTGGAAGAAAAAAACAGTGTTTGAAAGCGTGGCATTTTTTATCACGTTGCATATGAATATTTGAGATGTGGTTGAACTATGCGTGCTCCCGGTAATTCGTGTAATGCGTTTGTGTATTAGTAACAATGGGTGCACGACCTGTGCGGCCAAATGAGAATTTGGCATGCGACATCTCTGTAAAATGACCGTGCGTACTCCAACTCCAATTCTTCGCTGGCCACAAAGAAGGCCACGCCGCATAAACGCCGCGGACACATGGCAGGGTCATACGCAGTGGTTAACATTTGAATTAATTTGAATACACGATAGCCAACTCGGATAATGGCGCCAGAATTTTTCAAAACATGCTTTGCATCATGTCACTGAACACAAAATAAATTTTGAAATGTTTTTAACGGCTCGTATCTAGTGCTGCGAGTAGAGAAAACATTTGCAAAAGTTCATTTTTAATTTATCGATCTGTTTTCGCGAAATGAATGACTTGGTGCAACAAATCAGAAGTCGCAAACACTAACGAAGAATAATCGCACTTGGATGCCGGCGAATCGCGCGCACATTCGCTGCAGAAAGCACGCCTGGCACTTGACTCGAAAAGGGGGAATATAATCCGATGAGAAAAACAAAATGTGGAAATGCGGTGGCGGCGAACGGGAGACAAAAGGAGGACGCTCGCAAGAGTGGCACCACCACTGCCATCGCCCGCCGCCGTCTTCGCCCTGTATAATGTGATTACGCAACGGAAAACAAAAGTCATTCTTTGAGCGCAAACAAACGACGCCATGCGGATAGTTTGAATAAGGATAACCGAAGAATAACCGGAGATTTCAAAACAATAGTTATTGAATTATTATCGTGTACCTACGCTCGTGATTTAGTAATTTACTTTTTGGCTGCGTTCCATGATAAAATCAATTTCGGTCTGTTTCAAAATGGCGATGAAATACTCTTTACTTATAGGCATCCAGTGACAACATATCAATAAATACGGGTGTTGGGATTAATTTCGATTATATATGCATCAGCAGAATTTAATAAGATCACTAATTATCTTCAAGTGCATCGATACATCTCGGGCATCCGAGCATACTTACAGCTCAGTATGTAATTGAAATCCTCATTCGATCCATATTCAAAGCTCTCAATTTCCATAGAAATTAAATTAAATACATATGTTTCTCTCTTGGCAACTGGGTCGCTATTGATCGCTATCCATTTCAATTCTTTCCACGGAAAAACAATTTTAATTAATAAAGTTTGAAAAAATATGCGCGTACAAGTAGTAAAATAAATTTTTCTAAGCGTTGAATGATAAAAGAAAGCATAATACGCATTGTTAGGGCTTTAATTCAAGTTTTAATTAAAGCCACGTATAGAAATCGTAAAATCTTAACAATTTGTTCAAGTATATTCATTGTGTGTTTAATTATACAAAAATTGTACATTAACAATTTAAGATAAATGATATTCAAAAAATTTGCAATCGAGCTATGAAAGTACATTACAAAACCGGAAAATTCCTGCCCCGCATGAGGAATGCAAAGCATTTGAAATACTTTCCAACTGGTGGGTTCGTTAACATTCCTTTGCGACTTGCGGTTGACATTTGTCTTGAGAAGTTCTCCGCCTTAATTAAACAAGATTTATCCAATTTTGCACAGTGGTGACATTAAAAATCTAAAGTAATTGCAACTCTTAATTTAATTCCTAATTGCTTCTGTACTTTCAAGATAAATATTTTCGATTATTAAACGAAATAAATTAATGTACAAAAATTTGTGTAATTTTCCGACGTTTTGAATATTTTTAAACTTTTCTATAAGTTCCATGATAAATATTTAGCGTTTCGCTAAATATTAAATCAAGCCTGCGTAAATTGCAGAAAAGTTTCGCGCAAATGTCAACACATTGCGAATTTTATGATTAATAAAGTTCGAAATGACTTGGTAAGAATTTCCGAGCTCATTAAATTATTAATCAATCATTAGGTCAGCGTGAACTTTACGCACGAGATGTTTGAAATTCTCTTTAATTATTCACTCCTGCCGCCTGCAATTAATCGGTGGGCAACTTTTATTAAATCTTCATTAACTGTTTGCACATTTCGCTTCGAAATGTGGAATGTATAATTTATTCTACTTCACATTTCCAATGAGAGTAAAAGGTCACATTGGGATATATTTTAATAAACATTGGATGTCATTCCGACAGGAACTAACACATTGAATCTTTTGTTAATGTACTCGCTGAAACAAATTGCTAGTAATCGGAAAACTGTCATTCAACATAAGCGACGATTTGTAGTATTTCAGTTTCTGACCAAATACGAGTATATGAAGTTCCCTATTATATTCTCAGAGGAAATCGAAGAAATGCAAGAATAAATCGAATTTCTTCTGTAATGAAATCAAAATATTGACATACAATTCTTTTGTGTTATTCCCATGCCCCGAAACGCGACTTGTGTTAAAAATAACGTTTCACAAGTCTATAAATATATAAATATAAAACAATACTTAATTTAATTGGTTCCTATTATTAGTTAATAGGCAAACGCATCAGCTCCAATAATAATGGTAAAATAACGACCACAAATATCATGTAATATGTAATGACGTGAACCCTTCATGCGGTTGACTCCAAAAATACATTCAATACGTTAGCAGAGTATAGGTACATGCTAAACCCATTATTATGAATTTTTAATTATAAATACGCTTATTAACCCCGTCGTTTACGTAAGTATATTTATAGTTACTTGTTTTTTTAATATATCGATTAGACATTTTAACATTAACGCGAGGTTAGCACAGGGTATAATTAGCCATAAAAATAACCATAATAATAATAAATATATGTCAGATGTGATTTTGAATTCGATAGCTGCGTACACACAACGTAAGTTTCAACTAAATAATGGTACAAGACGTAAATAGCACGAATTAAAAATAAAAGTTCAACATGTCCGTCTGCAGCGCATGACATTTAACGATGATATAATGCGTGACGAACGTTTTTGAGATTTTCAGTTGTTGATTTCAGTGGCAAAACATCATTTTAATAATATACTATAAGTAATTGAGCAGGGGGTGGTGTTGGGCAGTCACTACTTGTTTCAAAATATCATGATGATATATTTTAATATACCTAGATACCAGTTGAACTATGAATTACGCATCCTCTTTCATTTAATACGGTATTAAGTTGAATAAAAACATAAAAAACCGAAATAAATATTTATTTATTTTTAAAAATTGAATTATTGAATTTAAAATATTCTAATCTGTCGAATATTTTATCAGCCTCCCATGAAAAAAAAAACACCTCTCCAGGCTTAAATCATAAAACTCAGGTAGGGGTGTAATCCCGTAGCAAACTCGGATTTCGTCCGTTTAATTCATTTCTCATCGCCAGGGGAAATTAATCAATTACTCCGGGTGCGTTGTTCTCATCGCTTACTTTTTGCAAATTACCTATTCAGCCCAAGGCCGAACCGAAAACTGCAGCAAACAAATAACCCGACATGTGCCCGGCTCTCGCTCTCATCAACCGAAAGAGATTTTAATCAGTCATTAATTAAAGTACTCCTTTTCATGCGCTCTGAAATAGCCACGCGCGCCGTTCTAAAAAGTTATAATAGAGGAAACGTGAGCGAAATTCGAGGGGTGAATTGGGAAAGAAGAACAGTCGCCACCCAAGACGCATCCAAGCAGCACGTACCGTCGCTACGTGGCTTTGGTCGAATGAGCAAATTAGACAAACCAAACTTGGGATGAATTACCACGTCTGGGTGAAGTTATTCGAACGCACTCACGAGACATGATTTCTCACTTTTGTTCCACCACCACAGAGACAAGCGACGCGCGTGTATTTTATTTTTGTGTCTGCTTTGTACGCATCCTGCACATAAATTAAAATCTCATCACTTTGCAAATCAATTATCTATGCTGCGTATTGATACCACCCGCTTATCGACATGATGGCCAACTTGATGATTGGTTTATTGCGAGCTGCTTGCATAAATTAGCATTTGTGCACGTGGTGCTAATTGGCCTAGATTCTCACCTGAAAACAATAGATGCGCGCAGAGTCCCAAAATTCTGGTAAATATCGATGCATTCATTGTAATCCAATTTAGTGAGCTGATTCTTCATATCTAAGCACAGCACTGCATTTATTCGTACTGGAGATGACAAACGTGGCGAGAAACATTTTCTTATCAATCCGACGGTGCGGTTGTAGCTAGGTTAAGTTAAATTTTCCATTTGTGTCTCAAGTCTGTAGCAGGAATAAACTATACACTCACAGAGTTAATAATCAGTTGCATTTTACCGTAATCACACACTTATATTATCCGCACATTGTAAATATAAATATTTAAAGAGGATATGTCTATAATTACTTCTAGCTCTGTCTCCAACCGATGACACAATTCTAAATAACTTGTTTTAGATGTGGATGTATGCTGTGTGAAATAACTAGTAAATCCGATTGACCCGTTTTGCATACGCTGCAAAATCCGATGACCAACACCAACAAATTTTTTCTCAACGCACTGCGTGGTCGTTCAGACGGTGCCAACGAGTGAGTGTGGCGCGGAACGACGTGATAGCAGCAAGGTGTCTAACGATAAACTGCACGCAAGCCGTCGGCGATGCGTCGCGCCGCCCGCCTGTTTTCCTGCTGGACGCCTAGATGTAGCATGCCTGGCGCCATCTCAACGGCAACGCCGGAAGTCACCGCCGCCAGACCAGCCTCCCCCATTCGGACATCGATCTTTAACACTTTGTCACACTCTAATCTCTGTCAGGCATTTCATACAAATATGCGGAAATTGTGTATAAATACTAGAACTAGACTTTTATATTCGTAAATGTTGTGTAAATGTGACAGTTGTTGAAATATTGATCGAAAATGCACAAGTATTATTGAAATACTACAGTGGCAACCACAAAGTAATTCCCACTTGTACCAAACTGTCTTAAAACCACAGCATAATCAACATTGCAGGCGGCAACCGCCGCCGCCGTCAACGCCAACTGTTTTCACGCTCTTCGCTTCGTCACTTCCGTTCGCAATATCTGCGCGTGTGTAGTCAATTTATATTCGGAGCCTGTTATTACCCCGACACATAATCTAGTAGATAGCAATTAGTGCCCTTGACGCCCCTTTCTACTTTTCATTAATATAGAGCAGCCAGGCGCGCACCTTTCCGGATACTCCGCGAAGAATATGACTGATGCGAAACAAATCTTATGCATGCTCTCGCATTCTAATTAGCTGCAAACTGAAACATGTTGCCTTGAAGTGTAAAAGTGTTTCATAGCGTTCGACACACTAAATAAGCATGTAAATATGCGTGGACACCGCGTAAATATGACAAAGGTAAACATAGCTAACGGCAGAGTCTCCATTCCAGCATCAAAAGCTCTCCTCGAACAAGGATGAACGACATCCTCGTTTGAGGCAACTAATAAAGCCGTGCGGTAGAAGCTGTTTGCCATCCTTCCACCTTGCTTATCTGATATTTACCCTTACGCCGTGAAAGTTAGATTCAAAGGTGGTGTTCACGCTTCGTTGCTGCGTCATTAATAGTTAATTAATTATCTGTATATATTCAATTCCCCGATGTGTTATACAACCGCGCTAGTAAACCCAGCATACAAAATGCAGTTGCAAGCGATCTTATGTTTTAGTAATTAAATATTTCCTCATAAAACACCAACAGCAATAAAAATATGTTGAATATTAATCATGTTTGGGTTTCGATACGAATGTTAGGAGAAATTTTATGATTTACGATCACACAACTAGGAATATATTCACTTTCAAGTTTTCCCCCTAAAGTTTTGGTTCCAGTTGTGGCTAGTATGATACGGAATTTCACGAAGGCAACTCCACCATTTAAATTCAAGTATTCAAGGGATTAATCCTTTTCAGAATAGTCCAAATTATATTGAGGGTAGACCATTGTTTTATCTCCGAATATTTTGTTTCATATAGTTTCCAATTACGCAAATAAATGAAATATTTGACAATAAAGTTTGTGCATAAAGTAGATAGGATTTAATCAATCACATATTAATTTATTACGAAAACAATATTTCCAATTTATATTTTATAATTATTGCAGGTTAGCGAAGCAATTGCCCACTTATTATTTCAAGTAAAATTTAGATATAGCCAAATGTAATTTACGCATAATATCAAAACAAATATGTAATATTTGGCAGCTACAATGCTATTTAAATGTTTGTTTGGTTTTGCGTTTGGGTTTTGGTGAATCTGTTTATATAATTTTTATCACACAGCGCCGGACGTGCTTTAATCATCGATTTGTTTGCTTTATGCTTAAATTATAAGCTGCCTTTTTGTTAATTTTTGTTCGCAAATTCCACGCGTTTTCGAAATTAAATTATTTGTTACATTTTCTGGAGTTGTTTCGATTCAGTTGTTAATTTACGTCACGTACTTTTTTATTCCCGGCAAAATTTGCTCTCGAGAGAGTTTATGAGTGAGGTGTGCGAGAGTATAGAGAAAACCTCAACCACAAAAGCTCTCGAGAATCGTGGCAACATGTGTCCGACCGTGCTGGAAGCTAAAGCAAACTGTGATGAAATTTATGTGTAGTCAGTAGTCAGATTATTTATTCGCTGCTTCCACGGGGTGGAAATGCAGGTGCTTCAATTTTAGAAACGCGAATATGCAAAATAGAAATAATATTTTTGATCATTTTACTTATTCTTCATCATCATCAGGGAAAAAAACTCGTAATATTTGAACCAGGAAGTTTTATTGTTCATTTAAGAACCTCCTGAAAGAATATCAACATAAAAATATCACCTACACAATTATCTAACTACAGAAAAAAATTATTTTGAAGCATTTATAAGAAAAAGTAAAAATATCGCGGTTAAAAGTTTATAAACTTAATATCCTTGATTTTTTTATATTTTGTTACAATTTCCGTTCATTTTGACTATAAATTAATTGTATTTCTTACAATTTACTTCTATTTTGAAGAAACAGCTAAAACTTTTGTTAGTACTCAAAATATTAACCCGCCAAATGTATTATAATTCAACGTTGAACCTAGAAATTAGATTTATAGACTAATTTAGAAGTTTTGTGATTATAGCAAAATACCATACGCTGGTTTTCCTTGCAACACAGAAATTGATATTCTAGAGTTCTAGACTACATTAGAGGCTCAAATTATAATTAGCATGGAAAGCTTATAAAAGTCCGCCGACGAGACAGACTATAATTAGAGGCTAAATATACACATTACTTTACAGAGTTGACAAGCAATGAAGCGTTCGGGACAGCAATACCTGCAGAATGTCGCCGAATTTTATATCGAAATTTCAACGTCCGTACGTGACAATATTAAAAAATACATCTGTGTTTGTTGTTGCTGTTTGCGACGACATATGTGCCTGTCGTAAGATTTTTATATTATTTTTCTATCTGTACAAATAAAGTAGTAAAAGCAATGATTCAACAATAAAATTGTCATTTGCACTTGCGGATAACACTTTCTGTTATATTTTCTGTACGTTTTATGCTGCGTTGCAGTAAAATCATATACACTGAGTGTTGTTGAAATTTTTTATTTTTTATATTTTGAACAATTTCCTAGAAAGCTCTGAAGGAAGTTGGGTAACTTATATGAGAACGGTATTTCAACATGCAACATGTTCTCATAAGCTTTCAAAAGCACGTACATTTTTAACCACTAATCTGATGGTAATCCATATTAATTTCTAGTGTATAACCAACCTTCCGGTCTTGTTGACCTGATAACATCTTTTGTATATACGGTATTATTATATAACCGCTTTATCTGCTACAGAATCAGATACAAAAAGACGTATTCGTCTTTTTTGTCAAACAAAATGTATCACAAAACATATAATTATTTAGTAACAGACAATAGGTACAATTTAAAGTAAAAATAAAAACAAAAAAACGTTTTCTTGTGTTTTTATAAAAGTAAGGTACAAACGACATTTCTTATCAAGATAAACTCAAGGCAATGCAAGCAATTAATAATTCCGTTTTAATGATCTCCACATAAACAGCCTCTTTCAGTTCTAAGCGAAAATGAAAGAAAAATCTTTGCTTTACCATGCCGGGTGCTGATTGTGAAAAGCGTTTTTAAATATTTGATGTGCGTTTGCTTTACGAGCCTTTACCAACCCACTCCACCACTTTGTAAATACAACCATCAACTTTTTGTTCTTCATTTAGGACAATTTCGTATTTAAAAACTCTCAAAAATGCGTTGCTTTTATTTAATAATTCATATTTCAATATTTAAGACACCGACGACATAAAACTTTATTTGAAGTACTTTATTGGTGTCGGAAAGAAAACAATAATGCCACCGAGAATAGGAAAGAAAACTTTTTCGCTACCGCGTTTTCGTGCTATCGTTTTCATACTATTACAATGGGCTGAAAACGCTATTCTCACGTAATTTATTACCTCACGAAAACCGCTTGAAGAGAAATCTGGAAAAGATTCACTTTTCTTTTGGTAGGTGCTTGTTAAATATGAACTCCGTAACAATATAAAATTTAAAAATTTTAAAACTAAAAAAATGTTTATGTTAATAGTGATAAATTAAATATTTAAACGTTTAATAACCTGTAGGTAATAGAAGTATAGAAGTAATAGTACACTAGTTTTATAAGAGCCATTTCAGTTGAGAAAACTGCAGAGGAATGAATTGGGGTTGGGACTAATAGGAAAACACATACCTACGCTAAAAGCTATGAACGAAGAGCAAGTTTGGGTTGTTTTTGGTTATCCGTTTCCCGTGGGGAATAAAAGTGTTTGGGGTTAGTATGCAGGAACCTTTTATGGATCCTTTAGGCATAGTAAAATGCCCACAAAATAACTTCATTGCATTTGCAAGTTGTTAAAATGCACATTTTCATTTTGTTCATTTTCAAACATGCTGGAAACACCAAAAGGGTTATTTAGGTGCCAAACAGCATTTTCTATCTATTTACATAACGGTAGGTATATATTTATATACTAATCCTTCAAATTTTTTTAATAATGTTAATTAAAAACGTGTTTAACGCATCAAAACTTGCGCTACCTCAGAAGCATGAAATATTAAACGATTATTACCGATAATAGTTTACATTTGTATTTAGTAAGCTTTTTGGTAAGCTTTGATGCAAACACTTTTAAATAAAATGCGCATACGTTTCAGTCATGAATAATTACACGCATTTTACTAGAGATTTGGAGATAATATCACATGTCCATCAGTAAAACAAATCTAAAAATCTAAAAATCAACAACTAAAGCGAATTAAATGTTTTTATTAAACATTTTTTTGTGCAATTTTAGTTATTTGCTCGTAGAACGTAATTTATTAATTGAATTTAGCTAAATTTTTATATTGTTTATGATGTACTGTAATTAAAACGTAGCATAGTACTTGCTATCAATAGGGGATATATTCATTCGTCGTTTGATACTATGTACCACCAAGGAAAACAAATTATCACCTCGAATTCTTGTTTTATGTCAGTTCTGTCAGGATTGCAAAGATATCTGAGGTACTGTACTACAGTTGTAATTCTTTTAGTCACGCAAACTCG